ATTAGCTTATTTAATGTGTCAGAATGGAGATGGAAATGACAGTCTATAGTCTCAAAAAACTAAAATATAATTTAAAAAAGCTTTTGTTCACCTGCATGCAAACAAAGCCTACTCCAACGTGATTGGTCAATACTACTTGGACTATAAACAGATTACAAACTCAAGCTCTTTCAACACTATAATGTTTTCCTGTGTGTTCAGATAATACTTGTTTCATTTGGAGATGCATTAGGCGCATTCACACCGCAGTACTTTTCCCACAAAGGTTCATGAGAACTTAGTTCATGAGAACTCTTTAGTTCTCATGAACTAAGTACAGATCGCGTTCACACCGGAATAAGTTCCTGTGGAAGGATTAGGCAAATGAAGCCGCTGACGTCACTTCTTCTTCTTCTGCTTTGGGTTTACTGGCAGGCCGCAAACAACTTCACGGCGTATACTGCCACCCGAAGTCCCCGGCCGGAAGTCCCCGGAGTTGGGGACTGGCTTCAGTAGAAGCTGCTGGGAGTCCGAGTACTTCGCCAGAACGCCGACACCTCCTCATCTCCACTGCTCCCATGTTTTCTTTTGTGTTGCCATAAGTTAGTCTCTCTGCGTTTGTGCGCTGGGCTAATGCTAATGCTAATAATGCTAATGCGAGGATAATAAAATGGCGGCTTCACAAAACTTTTTGGGAGTTTTACGGGGCGTGGTTTGCAATCCGCCCAGCCAATCAGACATAGGAACCTTTTTCTCCCACGAAAGTACCTGCTCTCTAGCAGGGACGGAAAAGGGGGTAAAAAAGGTTCTGATGAACTCATTTTAGTTCCGGCTCTTTTTGGTGTGAACGCGACATTTCGGAACTATATCGGAACTAAAGTGGGAAAAGTACTGCGGTGTGAACGCGGCTATTGATGCACTTCTCATTGAATTTATCATCAAATCTTCCATCTATTTTTAACAGCTGGGAACAGACAGTTGCAAACTCTAGTGTGTATTTGGACTCATTTGTGGACAACAACACACATGCAGAAAATACACAATGTATGCTCACAACAAGTGATTCCTGGCTACACTTAGAGATGTTATCAAACTCTGCACACTGCACGCCTTGTTTCCACACATTAACAGACAGAAGGAATTAGGATTCACACATTGTACTCCTAAATGAAGCTTCATTATCACGTTATTAGAGATGAACTGAGAGCTCTGCGTGGTGCTGATCATGCAGAGCTCATAATTCAATCAGCCCGATGAGGATTGTGCAACAATTACTGAGTTATATAATATATATAATGAACTGTCTATCACTGTGATCGAATACAGCAGACATTTTGTTTGTTTCTGAAGTGAATAAATATATAACTGCTCTCACATATGATTTATTCTAAACAAATAATTATCCAGATTTGAGGCAAATTATGAGCCTGCATATTGCCCAGTCTGCTCTGATTGGTTAGCTGGCCTGCTCTGTTGTGATTGGTCAACGGCCTAGCCTATTGAGTACAATTTGTTGGAGCTTTGGCCAATAGAAAAGCAAGTGTTACAAAGTGATGTCACTACAGAAGTATAAAAAAGGAGACCAATGGAGTCTGGAGGGAAACTTTGGGAATTTAGCCTTTGTAGACCATTTACATGCACAGAAACGTATAGAACACATTACAGGAAAGAAACTCCAAAAAGCATAATAGACCCCCTTTAAGAGCTTTTCACATGGATTTCCCTAAATGAAGCAACTTCATCTGCAAAAGTTGACATGTTGTCTGCCAAATCACGTGTTTACTGCTGTGTTTATTCACATGCTTTAATGTATCTGATGTCATTAGCCACTCTTGGTATGAAACTAGCAGAAGGATTGTCATTTTCTTGGCCTTCTGAAAGTTTCAACCCCACGCCAGGCTATGAAAATGCAGGTTTTTAATGAAGATCTTCACTGAGATCTGTCCCAGGGTTTGTAGTCTACAGAAAAACGTATTTTCACTCCTGCATTTTCCTCCCACTCTGAGCGTTCCACTCAGACCGAACAGGCACAAAAGCATTGTCCTCAAAAAGATCTTTGGTATTATTCTTCACACCTCTGTCACCTGTCCCTCGTTCTCGTTCCATTTCCAGTTGGCGGTGTGAATCCTCTCTGCTGTGTTGTGATGTGCGAGGGTTTTGATGTTGAATCTCTGTCTTCCAAAGCCTCCTTTTTATTTAACAACTTCTGCTTTTCAACTAGACGTTCAGTGAGCGATTTAAAAAAAGAAAAAGGAAAGTTTCTCCTGACCTAACCTCACCGCTTTCCTTTCAAACAGCTCGCAGTAACAACTGACGTTGCTTTAACGAGCTGCTTTCCTGGCACCGTCGGATACGAGGCGTGTTTTTTGGGTTTTAAAGTGAATTTGGCTGCGACACTGACACGTGTGTGTGTGTGTGTGAGTGTACACAAACACACACACGTACAGATATAATTCAATGTGGTTTTCATCTAGGACGTCAGTTCTCCGTGGGGGAAGTTATTGATGATGTGAGAAAGGCAATAAAACAAAGGTTGATTTAATCACTTTTCATACCGCTCCAAGGACAATAGTGGAGAGAATGCAAACATCAGCGCTTTTGCATATTTGTTTGTACAAACCACATGCCATATTTCGCTATCTGTGCATTTCAAGTTGGTGATAAGTCTTGAGAAAGTGTTTTAAAATTCTAAATATGCAGTGTGAAGCGTACAGATTTTGACACCGTAGTGATTATCTTTCAGAGGCTTTTAATTTGAGGCTAATGAATGTATGTTTTATCAGGCAGGCACGCTGGTGTGCATGCGTCAATACGGGAATGTGTGTGTGTGTGTGTGATTAAGGGGAGTGATATAGTGGAAGCGACAGACTCTACAGATGTTCAATAAATGGGCTGGAACTGGCTGGGAGGAGAGGGGACGTCATTCAATCTCTCACACACACACACACATGCAGGTTGACACATTTAACACACACACAAGACACGGATACACTCAGTCGGTGTTATCGTGCACAAGGATGAAGCAAATGTGATGTGGAACATGACGTAATACACTGAAAAGACTGAAACGTTGACTTTAATTAAATGTATACAGTATGGTCAACAGATTTCACATTAGGTTAGTTGAAAGCATTAATATTAAGTTTAATAGGTTAAACTACAATTATTGCTTACTGTACATGTAACCTAATACAGTTATGTATAATGTGTTGACATAATAGATTTAAATAAAGTTCAGTCAAAGCAACAATTTTAACGCTTGATGTAACAACAACAAGCTAATTAGCATAACAAAGCTAACGAAGAGAGCCTGGATTAGGGCAAAGCATGGGATTGGTTTCTGAGTGTGATTGTCCCCATGTTTCAGGGTTGAACATGGACGGTGTGTTTGCGGTGAGTGCGGACAGAGAAAAGCAACAAGGTCATCAAATATCCCCCCTTCATTATCACATATTGTGAGCGAAGCAGCTGATATGCTGTGGCAGCTATTCTCGTCCACAATAGGAAATGAAGGGGTGTGAAGTGGCTACAGAGGATATTTCCTGACACTCGCTGTGCGCTGTGTCGTGATTTTGAATCACAATGCCCTCCCATTCATCTCTCGCCCTCGACCTTTGCTTGTTTTGCTGCTTCGATCAATACCGCCATCATTTCCTTTTTGTATTTTCTTTGAATGTTCTCTTTTCTACATCATTTATTTCCGCCACTTTCTCCTTCATTCCTTTACTCCAACTTTTTCACCTACCTTTCTCTACATCCTTATGTTTCTTTTATTATCCGCTCCAGCTTTCTTTACTCTACTTCCATCATACCTCGTCTCATTACACCCACTCTTAGACTCATAACTGTTGCATGAAAGTTTAATAAAGCAATCTGTAATCCTCATATATTTTACATAACGTGTTGCTGTTGGGATTTCCCCATAATCCCTTGGCCTGTAGAAGAACATCCTGTGTTTGGGAATCTTTCTTGACGTTTGCTGCTCTCACTTTAACAGAACATATTTGAGCAGAGGTGGGAAGTAGTGGAGTACAAATCCTTCGTTACTCTTAAGTACATTTTTCTGGTTTCAGTACTTTACTCCACTACTTATTTTTCTGACGACTCTTTACTTTGACTTCTTACATTTTGAACACAAATACCTGAACTTTCTACTTCTTACATTTTGAACACAAATACCTGTACTTTCTACTTCTTACATTTTGAACACAAATACCTGTACTTTCTACTTCTTACATTTTGAACACAAATACCTGTACTTTCTACTTCTTACATTTTGAACCCAAAGACCTGTACTTTCTACTTCTTACATGTTGAACACAAATACCTGTACTTTCTACTTCTTACATTTTGAACACAAATACCTGTACTTTCTACTTCTTACATGTTGAACACAAATACCTGTACTTTCTACTTCTTACATTTTGAACACAAATACCTGTACTTTCTACTTCTTACATGTTGAACTCAAATACCTGTACTTTCTACTTCTTACATTTCCCAAACAGGCTGGTTCCTTTAGTTTGAATGTGTGTTTGGTGGCGTGATCATTATTATTTAGAGTCATTGCGTGCCTATTGATTTGAACACGATCCGTGTATCCATCATTTCCTGGTCTTCTCTAAAGAAGAGGGACCAATGAAAACGTTGTCATGTTGCCGTTGTTCAGCATGGAAACATTCATTAGCTAACAATGACATTATTGTTCTATTAATATAAAGGGAGGTCAGGTACTCTTTAAAACAGCTGGTAGTTATGGGTACTTTTTACTGAAGTACATTTCAAAGCCCATACTTCTTTACTTTTACTTGAGTAAAGAAGTTTAGTCAGTACTTCTACTTTTACCAGAGTATTTTTAAACACGAGTATCTGTACTTCTACTTGAGTAAAGGATGTGTGTACTTTTGCCCTCTCTGACCACTTGCATTTACCAGTTGGAGATTTGTGAGGAATACAAAACGCAAATCCATGACTTAAACACAGACAGTTTATGATGTCCCCCCTCTCTCTCTCTCTGTTAGGTGGTGTGTGCATCGCCCAGTCCTTAAAGATCCCCAGGGAGCCCCGGACGGGCGAGTTTGACAAGATCATCCGTCGCCTGCTGGAGACGTCCAACGCCAGGGCCGTCATCATGTTCGCTAATGAGGACGACATACGGTACTTGCTGCACACTAAAACAAGCGCCCCCTATGCCACCGCTCACCATCGCTGCCGTCACTTTAACATATGGTTAAGTGACATGTCCTGTCGCATCATCGGACTACTCTGTAATAATGATGATGTGAAGATACCCACGTGCCACATTCAGTTGAAGACAGTACTGATTTGTGTCATTCTCGTTAAAGCGATATCTCAGGAATGTGTTAAGGGGATTCTTTACTACTTGGAATAAATGGCACACAGTTGGCGGTCAAAGGTCAAGGTCACAGGGACCTCATAATACATGTGTTTTGTTAAACCTGAAAGTATATGATTATATGTATGAATATATCTTAGTTATATTGAGTACATCTCTTTGAAGTAACATCTCTGAGGTCCTTACTTTAGCACGTACACCAAAGTGTAATTTGGAACAATTGCTCCATTTCAAAGAAAGTTCATGAACATGGTGAAAACACCAGCTGCAGAACAGAACAGTTATATAATTAAGCAATAGCTCACGACAGGCCGTGGTATATGGCCATTATATCACAGTTAAGGCGAGACACGGCAGGCAAAAACATCGTTTTTCCTGCACTGGTCAATTTTGAGATTTTGTGCTATTTTGATTCCATAACATGTTTTCTTTCAGGCTTTTGGAAGGAAAACGTACAAAATACACATTTAAGTGTTTATTTTACTATAGTTTGTCTATTTGCGTCTGTAGATTTCTCCAAAATTCACCAAAAGTTAGCATTCTAACGTAACATAAAGTACCACGACCGCTGTTTGCACCATGTCTTCAGAGGTATCGTTGGAAAGCTCCGTTTCTCCTGCACAATCTCATCGGATCCAAATATGGTCATTTCCTTTGTATCAGCAACCAATCGTGAAAGTGCAAAGGGGTCTTAAACCAAGAAACGAAATCTCATTGGCTGGTGTCAATTTCTGACAACGTGATTCGTTCAGATGCGTCACGTGGTGTGCTAAAGCACTTCCTGGTTAGCTTTCCGCTTGAAATTTAAATCTGAAAATGGCAAAATAACGGAGAAAAAAACGTTCACAGAGAAGACGACAACAATTGTCACTTGCACAAAGCACGGTTATACAAAAAACAAATGACCCCGAACATGAAATACCTTCACGGAGTGCGTCGATGCGCAAGCTGTCATCCAGATAACAGGAGGGTTTAGCTAGCGTCACACTGCAATCTTTAAAGGTCCTTTTCTCAAAATGAGTTTTTTCTCCTACTCTGAGTTCGAAATTTCCACTTCAGTAGCAGTTACATACACCAAACCTTCCAGTTATATTCCTATCATTATTATGAAGGCTTTTACAGAAGGGTTTGGTCATATATAATTCATAGCCTGAATTATATAACATTTTATACCTAAAAACATGGTGAAAATTGATATTTTAGGGCTGTTGACAGTATTTTCTGATTTATGGAGTGATACAAAGAGATATCCAAAATCCCTTCTGTAAAAGCCTTAGATACTAATATGACTACAAAATGAAACAATAACTTTGATCCTGGCTTTATCCAAAGTTCAGATTTCGGTTCCTGAAATGTGTTAAAATATGCGCATATTTCATGAGATAATGGATCATTTGCATATTTAAACATGCTATTTCAGAAAACTTGTAATACAAAAAACAATTGCCTTATTGTAAGTAATTAACTGGAGAAATTTCTAGCTGATATCTTTAAGTTAAAAAAAATTACCCTATTCACCTGGGGTGTCTCGCCTTAAGGGGCGTGGTTCGGCCTGACGCGAAGCCCTGTATACAGTTAAATCGACCGGACTTCTTTCTGCAGATGTGAGCGTCCTTAACAACGGTCAATAAGTCCTTGCTGCACATTATCCCTAACATGTTTCCATCTTAAGCTTTGTTAGTTAGTTAGTTTCGTACCGGACGTATTACGTAATGTAACAGTTGTAACGGTTGTAGCTTTTCTCAGACGCGGAGGGATACTGACTTGTTGTGAAAAGTAACTACAATTCTACCCGTGATATACGCTCATTATATCACGGCTAAGAACCAATCAGATTGCTTGATTTGACTTGTCCGTTTTGTGGGGGAAACTTCTGTGTAGCAATGCAGTGGCAGTCACTGACTCAGGAAGGAGACACGGTGAGAGTTGGAGCTTTTGATGTCAAACACTGATGGGTTTATTCAGAGTATCGGCCGGAGGATTCACATCACAAGTCAAAGAGTCAGAGGGTCTGACTTCACGGGAGAGTTGCCACGTCAATTCTGAAGAGCCTCTCTCTATGCTAGACCTTTTAACTGGTTCACAGAGAGTAATCAACATCTCTGAAGGAGTAGACTAAACAGCTGGGAACACTGAACCACCTGCGTCCGACACTCATGGCCTCAAAGATTTCACATCTTAGAGTCCACAAACACCGATAAAGAAGTGCCTCAGTGTTCTCACAACAATTACCATTCGTGCCAGACAAGTTGACCGGTCACAAACTGGTGACAACAACACATATGGCACCAAGGCCTTTCCTTAAAGGAGATAACAGACGTCAGAGTAGATCATAAAACGTCACAGAGCAAAAGGTTTAGATATCTAGAAGAATTATTCCGTAACACGTTTTATAACCATTGTTAAATATCTGGGAAATTAGAAGACAGAATATCTGATTATTTAAGACTTTGCAAACTAATGTGTCCTTGGTTCTATTACAAAAAAACTGTCTTTTTAGGATTAAAGATTAGGATTAAAAAGACCTTTTATACGTAGAGGGATATTCAGTTGTTCACTCAGAGGTCATGCAGTTATTTGGCTTTTGAGCACACAAAAACCTCTAAAAATACATGAATTTAACGACTCACAAATAGGATAGACAGGCATCAACTTGAACTTTTTTCAACTTGTGTATCATCAGCTGATGCTGTTACTAGACTATGTTAGGGAGGCGTTCACTGCCTTGATCAGCGGGAAATCAAAAAGCCCATCAAGATCTAGCAAGTGCCGTTTTAGTTTTTTCCACTGAGCTACATCCTTAAACATCCTTTAATTTGGCTTATCATTTTTAGTAGTATCACTGTTCATGTTTTATTGTTTTTACATATTTTAATTGTGTTCCTCATTTGTCATTGTGATTTTTTGTCATACTCTGTAAAGCACTTTGGGCTGTGTCAAGCATGAAAGGTGCTATATAGATAAAGTTTATTATTATTATTATTATAAATAACGTTTATTATCCTGTTAACCCTTTAATTCTCTTGTCCAACAGACGCGTTCTGGACGCTGCTAAAAGGAACAACCAGACGGGTCACTTCCTGTGGGTGGGCTCTGACAGCTGGGGGTCCAAAATCTCACCTGTCCTCGGCCAGGAGAAAGTGGCCGAGGGAGCCATCACCATTCTCCCCAAAAGAGCATCTGTGGACGGTAAGATTACCTGTAGAGAAAACCGGCTGATCTCTTTGGTCGCATTCACACCTAATAGTCCGCTTCTCTGGTGCGCACAAGACGACAGTTTGTTACATTGTTTCATTTTTCAGAAGGTTCGGTTTGCATTCACACGGGCAAAATTCAAACGGACTATAAACTTTAAACACAAGTCATGTGCTCGGAAATGCTGTTCAACCATTGGTCAGACAAATCCCGGCAATTTCTCCGCCATGGAGCATCGGCAGGTTAATTTCATGCTGCTGTTAATCTGGAGATCAACAGACTCAAGCGGCCCGCATAAGATTATATAATCAGCGTGCGATAAAAAACATTATAACACATATAATGAGAGACGTCCTGCAGTAAGGAGGGGGTTTCACCGACGACAGGTGGCTCTGACTTTTATGTATAGTTTTTAGTTTGATAGTTGTTTTTACTTTACACGACACTGTTCAACACTTCATTCTGCTTCACTCTTTCACTAACGATTTTGAAGACACCCGCGTTCTTGTGACACGTAAATACTACGCTTCCTATGTTTTGGTGCGGACTGCGTTCACACCAGCGATGAACCGCTCCAGAGTTCACTAGCAAGCGGTCCGAGACCACCTCTTTTAGGCGGAGCAGAGTCCGGTTGTTTAGTTCACTTAAGACAGGGGTGTCAAACTCAAGGCCCGGGGGCCAAATCCGGCCCGCGACTTCATTTTATGTGGCCCCACAAGAGCTTGCAAAGAATATAATATGTTTATTATACGGTTACATGCTACTTTACAGAAGCACGTTGCCCATAAACGACATGTCCCACATTGCATCTCAAATTTGACTTTTTCTCAGAATTTGTTTTTGTCCAAATATGCCTTTTTTCTTAGAATTAGCCTTTTTCTCATAAATAGATTTTTTTTTTCAAAATGTCACAATCAATGTTTTTCCAGAATGTGGCTTTTCTTTTAAAATCATATTGTGACATTCTTACTGAAGAGACTTGCAATTATTTGCTCTAGACTTCTGCTTTCAGACGTAGTTAATTATGAAGTTATATTAATTAATGATATAGTCTTCAAGTTACAACCGGCCCTTTGAGTGCAACCATAATGCTGATGTGGCCCGTGATGAAATTGAGTTTGACACCCCTGACTTAAGAGGTCTCGGACTGCGTTCACACCAACCCAAACGAACCGCACCAAGCGGCTAAACGCACCAGGGTTCGATTCAACCGGACTATTCAAGGCTGGTGTGAATGCGACCTTAAAGCATGCCAACACTTTCTGCACTGAGACTCTTTCCCCACAACTGGCTGTGTGACACATAAAGAGAAATGTACGGTGTGTGTCGAGTCTAATAGATCAAATTAAGTGGACAGGTAGACCAAACAGAAAGTAAAATACTCTCATGTTTCCTAACTCTTGATCCTAGCAGATAACACGTTTTTGCCATTAAGCCAGAGGAGGATATCCTCATTTGCTTCCTGTCAGAGCTCCCTATTAGATAATTGACTCCTGGAGGGACACAAAAGCGACAAGAAATAAACTGAAAGTGAGGCAGAGTATGTAGAGGTTTAAATGAAGTCGGCTTCTGGCGACATGCGGGAACACGCTGTGGGGTCTTTAGAATTGACGGAGGAGTTGTGAGTGAGAAGGAACCAGCGCAGAGTTGCTCTGAGTTACCAATTCATTAGGTTTACTGACAATCTGATGCAATCTATTCCAATAACAATGCAATGGATTTAACCTTTGTGAAGCTTAAAGGGCTCACCTTTTGTTGAGACAGTCAGAGAGATGTTGATTCAGCTCTCAGTAATAATGAGATTTGTCGGTGGATATTCTTTCTTTTTTACTATGTGACATTTTTAGATATTCACATATTCACTACCGATATTACCAGGGCAACAACTAATGGAAATGTAAAAAACACAAGATCATTCATCAGGTCATTGCTTATTCACAAGACACTTTTTCATTTTAAGTAGTGTTTTGACATACTGGGAAGGAAGGAAAAGATCATAACCATTTACATATATTTTAATAAGAAGCCATAGCCAAAGGATGGATATCTTAGCCTAGCACATATTATGGAAATGATGGGACAGCCAGCCTCTTAGAAAACACTGATGACTCAATGACTCTGTGTAAAACACTGTTCAATATTTCAATGAAAACCAGATATAATGAGATACTTACTACTACTACTACTGCTAAGATGATTGTCCTTTGGCTCCAGCTTCATGTATAGTTTGTGGCGTTTGACAGAAAAGAATAAGGATCTTCTCATCTAACTCTCAGCTAGAAATCATATGGCATTTCCCAAATTGGGGCACTTTAACTTTATTCAAATTACCCTACATGCCCCAGAAAGGGTGTCCCAAAAAAACACTGCCTGTCTTTTAATTAGATGGACCTAAATTAATGTTGTGTGACCACCATAGGCGTCGTTACTGTGGACGCTGGGGACATGTCCCCAATACTTTTGGAAATGGATAATTTTGTCCCCACCACTCTACATTAGGATATATATTGTTGAAAATGTACAGTACATTTTCTGATTTTCTTTTCACTTTGACAAAGGTTTATTTGAATAAGAAAACATGTACAATCTGGAGGACTGTTCACACTTTCTGTGTATTTCTGGTAACCCAAGTGGTGCAAATTTGGACTTGCAACACGTTTAATATTAGTAATTATTGCATAGAGAATAGTTGAGTGATTGTTGCCCCGCTTTGTAGCAGCGTAGCATAAGGCGCTTTCACACCAACTGAACTGTTAGCGTCGTGTTATGCACGCCCACTGCACCTCGCGGGAGCGCGCACAGCGTAAAGCAAAAACTTGCAGACATTTCAATGATTTGTACGGCACAGTTAGGTTTGGAAACGGTATAATTTCCTTTTTGGCGGGCATGCATAACACGGCATTACACCGGAGCCTCGCTGCGGGGAAACTTTGTCGCTGTTCCGAGTTTGTTCTAATCTGTCAAAGTGACGGACTGCTTTCAGATTTTTCCGTCATTGTTAAAAAAAAAACAAACTCCGGTCACCTTTCCCAGGCTGTCCAAGTCCTTCTGAGAGTCCCCACATTCTCCAGGCTTTGTTTCACCTGAACTACGGTCCCAGCGGTGTCTCTAATGACTCTTTTCTTTGTATTAGTGAATGCTTCTCTGCAGTCTATTGGCATACCTGAGCTCCACAGGAACACTGTGGTTATAAAGCGATAGAAGAAGTCTTTTAAAAAGCTATTTTTCCTCACAGTGTTTTTTTCCCCCAATTAATTGCGGTGTGGACTAAGTAGAACATGTATGTGAAGAGTTCCTGTCTTCCTCATTCCCACTTTCTTTCGCCCATCTCTTTATCTCAGCCTGCCAGCGTCTGACAGGTATTTCCATTCCTGTGACAGGAGAAATATGTTCCCCCTGTTTCTCGGTTACTCTCTGCTTATTAAATTGGACAAGTAGCCAGCGTAGAGTGTGAACACTCAGTCCAAAATGTTTGCTCTGCTTGCTTCAGTGTTTGATAGGAGCTCTTATACACGTCTCTGCGGATATGGCTTCTCAGTCATACTTAATATTCACAACATATGCCTTTGTGAGTCAAAATGCATTACACCGCCGTGAACACGCGGCGTTCCTCACATTATCCAGTCAAACACGATCTCACAGCTCTGCTTCAGAGTGATGCCGTTTTTAAAATCTGTTAGTAATATGTATTTGTTATTGAAATGTTGTTTCTTTAACCGTGTCTATGTTCTTTTTACAGCGTTCGACCGGTATTTCCGAAGCCGCTCGCTGTCCAACAACAGGAGGAATGTTTGGTTTGCTGAATTCTGGGAGGAGAACTTCAACTGTAAGCTGGGGATGCACGGGAAACGGCCCGGCAGCCTGAAGAAATGCACAGGTAAGACACGTGACTTCTTGACTTTGTAAGAGTTGCTATCCACCATCGCTCCCACCATTTGGGGGGAAAAAAAAATACCATCAAATTCCAATCATCTGCAACTCGATTCAGGATATGGCAGAAAAAGTGACATTATGCTTGAAAACATGCACCGTACGTAGCACTACTAACGAAATGGAGAAAGTAGCAACCTTTCTGAAATCACCTTTACAGGCACTGTACCAACACACACCGAGTCATCGTAAATACAGAGTGACACAAAAGTGTTAACTAACCATTCAGAAACGTCTTGCTGCATCCGAAATGTTATAGCAGGAAACTCTTCTTCTTCAGGGTCAGATTCAGGATCAGATTCATAATATTCTTGAACAGCTGTGTTTTGCTGTTCTCGTATTCACAACCTAGGTATTACGATGCCAGGGCCAAAGAGATGGAGAATCACAAACACTTTGCAGGTGTTCTTTGATTAAAAGTCAAAATTCTGAGATTAAAATCAGAATTCTGGGGAAAAAAAATGTTATTCTCAAAGTTCTTAGAAAAAATTATTCAAATTTGTTTCTCAAAATTCAGAATTGAATTGCATGATAAAGAAATCTAAACAAATGTTGGTCAGATCCCCCCAAAAATGTGGCCCTTATCGTCTTCCTTACTGTCTAATTAATCATCATCTTCAACTTTCATAAGCTCAGAGGAACTATTTGTTCTGTTTGTTCCAATCAGTCCAGCCCATAAACCTCTATGCAGATTAACCACATCACTGTGGATCATCTGAGGCTTCATTGGAGCATCCTTGCTGCAGAAATGTGTCAACAGGGACCAGCATGGAGGTTTAATTATATATATATATGTAGTAAAGAGCCCTGCTGGCTCTAATAAGCACCCTTAGAGCCAGATCACACTCCCTGTTACGCTCCGAGGAGCATTACAGCTCGGCAATTGTTTGTGTACTCAAGGCTAACAGGGAAATGAAATAATGCTTGCAGTCTGTGATTGTAAATACGGTAATTGAGTCTCCTCTATGAGTGTGTGTGTGTGCATCTGTGCGGTAATAGGGACTTCTTGTTGTCAGGTTTTATTTGCCTACTGTATGTTGGGTTCATTAGACTGTATGTGCGGTTTGACCTGCATTTTGCTCCCATATCAAAATGCCTGCAGCTTGTTATTTTACACAAGGCCAAACACTTCTGCGGATGTGTTACCTGTGTATGTGTGTGTGTGTGTGTATATTATCTAGACAGGGCAGTGTGTGTACCTTCCCAGTTTCTACAGCTCTCTGGATAATGTGATATTTACAGCAGGGTCCGTGACACGAACTAAACATCATCTGTGTTTCCATGAACATGCTCTGGTTCTCGTTCTGTGTGACCTCATGCTGCTGTGATTGAGACTCCATGTTTATGTGTGTGTGTGTGTCACAGTCACTACTCCCCGGCTGACACCCAACGCTAGTTCACGTAATTAGGTTTGTAAGGGCCCTGACTCCCATTGACCGTCTATTATAGCCGTGGCATCTGTGTTTGTGGGCGTGTGTGTGTCGGAGCCCTGCAGCGGGGCGACAAAGTCCATTAATTCCAAGTGCTGGGGTTCGCGACCTCCAAATCATCAACACAGAAGCCAATCAGCAGCCTGCTGCTCAAGGTCGCCGTGGTGACACAGCTGATGGGAGGATGTGGAACTGGGTGTGATTATTGCATGTGATTGGGCCGAGAGTGAGAGACAAGTAGGGAGATAGCGAGTGGCAACAAGTGCTAATGCGGAAAATGACAGGAAGCTTTGGAAATGATGTTTGGATGCACAGATTAGAGACAGATAAATCATTTAAAAAACAATGTATAAAAGAGGCAAAATGGAGAGGAACAAACAACAAGAATCATTAAGATTATCATTTTTATCTAGTACCTTGTTCTGTTTCGCAAAACTGGGGGTATGCCGACTGACAAATTCTTTAGGTATCTACCTATCTATCTATCTACCTATCTATCTATCTATCTATCTATCTATCTATCTATCTATCTATCTATCTATCTATCTATCTATCTATCTATCTCTATCTATCTATCTACCTACCTACCTACTACCTACCTACCTACCTACCTACCTACCGTACCTACCTACTACCTACTCTATCACTATCTATCTATCTATCTTATCTAGCTATCTATCTATCTATCTATCGATCTATCTATCTATCTATCTATCTATCTATCTATCTATCTATCTATCTATCTATCTATCTATCTATCTATCTATCTATCTATCTATCTATCTATCTATCTATCTATCTACCTACCTACCACCTACCTATCTATCTATCTATCTATCTAATCTATCTATCTATCTATCTATCTATCTATCTATCTATCTATCTATCTATCTATCTATCTATCTATCTATCTATCTATCTATCTATCTATCTATCTATCTATCTACGTAAAGCTACTTAAATAAGTTCCAACACAAACTTTAATTCTCTGATTTCTATTATGAACAGCTGCTGTGTTAGCTGTTTGAAAAAATCATCAATTTGTGTATAATACACAAGGCAAAAGAAGGAATGCTATCTACTCTAACATAGTAAGCATACCATCAGTGGCTGTGTAACAATGTGTTGTTGCCTCTAACAGATAATGAAAATGAACTCCAAATGTCAAACACTTTGATTCCTGTCTTGAAATTGGTTGCGATTGTTTGTCTTCCTCTGAACGAGTGCGTCAGAGTTTCATCAGTCAGTCCTTAGGCAGAGCTCTCCTTCACAAAATAACTAATGCATCACTTTAAAAAATCAAAACTCCTTTGCTTCTGACATAAAGCTGATACATATGGAAATGCACCCGATATTCTGTGCAATATGGGCACATTCAGATTCATTATATGGTAATTACTGCCACTTTCAAAAGTGTCAAAATCTGTTTTCCATGCAAAGAATAGCATTTAAATGATTTATTAACAATAAATGACGTCCACTTTCATCTGTCAACTTTCATAAATACAATAGTAAGCACAAAATAAAATGGAAATCCAAAACTCCCAGACTTTTGAGTGTAGTAAACATATTTTATCAGCCAGTACAACGGGATAAAAAACCCCCTATTCTGTTGGATGTGTGCTGTCAGGTAAATCTGACGCCTGAGGGGAAGCTAACTGAAGCAGACACCAGATCATAGATAAGCCTACACACACTCTTACATGCTCTCACAGACACTTACATGCTCACACACTCTCTTACATGCACAGTGGCTGCAGATATAATCATGAACAAGCTCTGTTAATTAATGTGATACTCTGACACCTGATCCTCAACTCCCACTGGCTCTGTTTTTATACAGATGCAGGTGTACATACGCATAATACAAGCTCTTTGTCCCTCTCTTTCTCACACACACACACACACACACACACACACACACACACACACACACACACACACACACACATACACATACACATACACATACACATACACATACACATACCATGTATACATCACTTCAGGGGACATTACATTGACTTACATGCATTTCCTGGAGACTTATCCTAACCTTAACCATAACCAACAGATGCCTAACCTTACCCTAACCCTAACCCTTACCCTTACCCTTACCCTAACCCTAAAGTCTTCACCCTAAAATTAATGATTCCCCTCATGGGCACCTCCATTTTGTCCCCATAAGGGAGGCGAGTCCCCACACGTGACTGTGTAAACAGATTTAGGTCCCCACAAGTATAGTAATGCTAGGACACACACACACACACACACACACACACACACACACACACACACACAGACACACACACACACACACACACACACACACACACACACACACACACACACACACACACACACACACACACACACACACACACACACACACACACACACACACACACACACACACCTTTCTAACAGATCCACTAACCTGTGACACAGACTTTTAAGTGATATTAATGACTCATCTCTTTCACTTGAAAGGGGCCCTATTATGCTTTTTGGGGATTTCCCTTTCCTGTAGTGTGTTATATATGTTTTAGTGCATGTAAATGGTCTGCAAAGGCTACAATCCCAAAGTTTCTGTCACAATAAACCGTCCCATAAACTTACAGCAGTAAATGTTTGCATTGAAAATGGTAATATTGAAATGTAAATGTGATTGGTCCAATGGACATAGGCATTCATATCAAACTTAAAGTGTGATTATTTCAAGAACTTAGCACAACTTATTAAAACATAATTTTTTAAATGAACATTTTTATATTGACATTTAAAAAAAAAAAAAGCCCTATTATGCTACTAACACATTGAACATGTTGTGACCAATCACAACAGAGCCGGGCAGCTAACCAATCAGAGCAGACTGGGCTCTGGTTTCAGACAGAGGGTGAAAAGAGGTGCTGCAGCACAGGCAGTATGAGAAAAATAAAGAACTTTTTGAACATTAGAGCATGGAGACATGTCACAGGAGAGACACTACATACTGATATACACCTGAACATCAGCAGGAGAGGACTCTTTAAAGTAGAGACACGACATACTGATATACACCTGAACATCAGCAGGAGAGGACTCTTTAAAGTAGAGACACGACATACTGATATACACCTGAACATCAGCAGGAGAGGACTCTTTAAAGTAGAGACACAACATACTGATATACACCTGAACATCGGCAGGAGAGGACTCTTTAAAGTAGAGACACTACATACTGATATACACCTGAACATCAGCAGGAGAGGACTCTTTAAAGTAGAGACACTACATACTGATATACACCTGAACATCAGCAGGAGAGGACTCTTTAAAGTAGAGACACTACATACTGATATACACCTGAACATCGGCAGGAGAGGACTCTTTAAAGTAGAGACACTACATACTGATATACACCTGAACATCAGCAGGAGAGGACTCTTTAAAGTAGAGACACTACATACTGATATACACCTGAACATCAGCAGGAGAGGACTCTTTAAAGTAGAGACACTACATACTGATATACACC